TTTTGATGTCATTAAGTTGAGGTTTTTCTCCTTTTTTAAGCAGGCATCACAGAAAGGACCACCTCTGTTTCCTCTGACTTCTTTGAGATAAAGAAACAATACAAAGCGGCTTTTTCCCGCCAAGAAAACAAAGATTTAACCACCTGAGATCAACTAAGAATTGAATTTGACCCCTTTTTTTCATTTTAATGTGTACTTTTCTGGATTATTTAGCTTTATTTGCTAAGTTTGGTGTTTTTGGTTTGTTGTTCCTGGCCCATTTGTGAAGTTTGGGCCAGTCCAGTTCTATTTAAGCTGCCTAGGTTCTTTCAGTTTTGCTTGTGTTTAGTTTTTTGTCCAGTCGAGAATCTAAGCTACTTATCGTCCGAGTTATTTTGTGTTGACCTTTGACCCTTTGTTCAGCGTTTTGATGTAATTAACTTGAGGTTTTTCTCATTTTGGGAGCAGCTCTTGTCCTTTGTTTAAGTCTGGTCGCTCCCTGAATCAGAATCAGAAATACTTTAACAATCCCGGAGGGAGATTATTTAATTATGTTGTTTTCACCAGCCCAGCAGACCACTTCGGTCTGCTGGTCAAAATCTGCTGGAGTTCCCACGGTGGGACAGCAGTGGGGTGTCCGCTCTTTTGCAGCGGCAGGTCCTAAACTGTGGAAAAACTCTCTGCCCACTGAGTTACGTTCATTCACTGACCTACCTCTGTTCAAAGCTCAACTTAAAACGTATTTGTTCAGGGTGGCTTTTTGCACATAAAATCTCTGTATACTGGGTTCTGTCACCAATGTTTTTGTCTTTGTATATGTCGTTAGTTTGATTTGTTTTTATTCTGTAAAGCACTTTGGTCAGCTCCGGTTGTTGTAAAGTGCTATATACGTAAATAAACATTGATTGATTGATTGGTTCTTCTTCTTCTACTGGTTCTTACTGACCTGCCACTGTTCAAAGCTCAACTTAAAACGTATTTGTTCAGGATGGCTTTTTGCAAGTAAAATCTCTGTATACTGGGTTCTGTCACCAATGTGTTTATCTTTGTATATGTCGTTAGTTTGATTTGTTTTTATTCTGTAAAGCACTTTGGTCAGCTCCGGTTGTTGTAAAGTGCTATATAAATAAACATTGATTGATTGATTGATTGATTGATCTAATGATTCTGTTGTTGTCTGGGTTGGTCTGATGTGGTTTTCTGGTTTTGGGGGAACTGTGGTTTCCGACTCACCGCAGTTCTTTGAACGGCTCGGCGCGGACGTGCGGCGTCTCCACCGACTTACTGAAGACGGCGCCTTCGGCCCCTGAAACAGAAACAGAACAGAGTCAAAAACCTTCTGGAAAACCTCCAGGATGAGTTCCTCCAGACTACAGAGAACAGAGAGAACTCATCACATAAAACAGCTCGTTTGGCCACAAACGTTTGGTGGTTTTTTGTGTGACTCCACAATAAAATAATCCTGAATTTCTTCTATGGGGGATGAAAAAGTATCTATCTATCTATCTATCTATCTATCTATCTATCTATCTATCTATCTATCTATCTATCTATCTATCTATCTATCTATCTATCTATCTATCTATCTATCTATCTATCTATCATTAGTTCATAGTAACA